TTTAAAAGGAAATTCAAATGTAAAATACACAGATATGCAAATATGTATATATGCACATTGCACATCAGTTGGGCAGGAAGCATGTTTTTCTAAGATCTCTGAAGTACCACGAAATAGTACAGTTGCTACATACGAACAGGTAGAAATTAATGTATATTGGGATACTTGGCTAAAGATACTGTCACATCACCAGACAATTGTTCTTCAACTAGAATTTTCCTAAAGCCTCTATCAGAATGCTTTAATGTAAATGGTATGACTAAAACTAACAATAACATTTCCTTGGTCTGAGAAAATACATATAACCAGAACTATATTATATTCTGTGCTGTTTGCATACGATCTGAATAAAAGCACAAAATTAGGATATGGGCTATAAAGGCAAAGAAACATAGCTGATTCCAGAAAAAGTGTTTTGACTGTAATAAAGATTACTTTTGCACTGGTACCTTTTCTACTTAGAAGCTGCACATATATTTGCCTCTGATAGACAAAACCAATTAACCACTCTGCAGGCAGCCACAAAGGTCTATGGGGGAGCGCAGAGAGATGGGAGCAGTGAATAAGCCATTAGTTCTCCCCAGAGGAATTAATTTTCATAGGCATGTCTTTCATCACTGCTAATCAACCATGATACACATTCTTTCTGCCAAACTCCCTGAGATCTCTGGATAGACTTCTGCAGAGTCATGAAAAAACCCACTGTGCACTTTATGTCCCTGCCCAACCCATAGTAGGCAGCAAAATTGAGCAGTGAACCGCACAGTGTGGGGCTGCAGGACAGGAGAGCAACTCGGGGCTGGCTCACGAGTGATTCAGTATGTGAAAACAGTGAGGGCTGCTGTAGGAAAAGAACAACAGACACAGTAAGAAGAGAATGTAAAAAGAAAAGATTTTTCCTTTTACAATGACAGAGAGCATAGCAAGTAAAAACTTGTAAAGATTAAGATAATGGAAGAATTGAGGAATAAGGCATCACAGAGAACAGGACAAATGTGGAGGCTGACAGAAGTCCCTCACAATGTAGTAATTTGTGCCTACATTGGGTGATATTTCTAAGGATTGATTCACTCAAGTTTATTGTATCTGCTTATATATAGCAATAGCCACAAGACAAAGGTTAGAAGCAAACTCATAAGCAATCACTCTACCAATAAAATTTATAGTATGCCGTGGAAGATTTCTTCCATCTTCTTGGTTGGTGCTTTCTATTTCAAGTGGGAACAACATGTTTGTATACCATTATTTCCTATAACCAAAAGACAGCCCATTTCATTTTTTTGATAATTGTGTGTATCTGAATTCTGGATAAGATATGGAGTAATTTTCATGCTCTCCCATAAGACTCATGTAGCATTTGGGATGAAGATGAAAGTCTATATAGCGACTTTAACTATCTGTTAAAAGTTGCATCATAATGTAAGATTGCAACTGATGTAAGCAAACCTTAGCAATGAAGGTGCAAGTAACTAGATTTTCAGAGGACAGGAATTATATTGTTTCTATACTTTTGTGGGCGTGTTTTAAAAAATATCCATTTCATATGAGAAAAGCAGACCACTTGTGTTTTTTCTTATGGTTATACGTTTAGCAGGTCTTACCTATTATTTCCTGAGCACAGTACCTAATAGGGAACAGAAGTGATAAGGTTCCATTACCTCCTCTAAGTAAAAGTTTTAGTGTCAGCATGGACCAGAACTGCTCAGAAGTGCTCAAAAAAACTTGCCTGCGTGAACTAAAATAAACAGTTGTATGGAGGGAGCTAGAGATTTTTTTCTAATTTAATAATTTTGCTTCATTAGCAGTGGCACTTTGAAAGTTTCCACTTAGATTTAACCTTAGGGCATAGCTCAATGAAATCTTTTCAGAAAATCAAACTACTGTTTTATGTGCCTAACTTTAGGAGCTAATTCAGGCACCCATTTTTACTTTTTTTCAAACATAGCCTGAAATTTCATCAGTGTTGTAAGTTCTTACACCCAACTTATTCTGTGGCTCTTCAAAGTGGAGATTGTTATCCTGGTGGCTGTGTGAGCAGATTAAACATTGAGACTTCCTAGATGATGTATGCTACAGGAAAATGATAAATATGTAATATAAGTGATAAATATACAGGACACAACATGCAATGTGCCCTTGTGGCAAAGAAGCTGTGTAAGAAAAAGCTTCGTGAGCAGGTTCAAGTGAGGTGATGCTTCCCCTTGTCTCAGATTTGGCAGCACCAGCACTGAAGTGCTCTGTTCTGCACTTTCCACTACAAGAGAGACATGGCCATACTGAAGCAAGTCCAATGAAAAGCTGGCAACATGATTAAGAGACAGGAGCATCTGTTACACAAGGAGAGGTTGAAAGCTGAGAGTGTTTAGCCTAGAGAATAGAAAGCTCAGGTGGATGATATCAATGTATAAACATCTGATGAGGTGAGTAAACACAACAGAGCCAGACTCTTCTCAGTGCTGTCCATGGATAGGACACGAAGCAATAGGCACAAGTTCAAATACAGGAAAGTGTTCAGCCATTAACAAAACACCTTTCTTCCTGTGAGGGTGATCAAACACTGGAACAGGATATTCAAAAGCCCAGCAAGGCATGGTCCTGAGCAACCTGCTCTAGCTAATCCTGGGTTGAGCAGGTGGGTTGATGCAGACCACCTCCAGAGGCATCTTCCAGCCTCAGCCACTCCACAGCTCTAAATTGGTCAGAGTTTTAAACTCCTGGGAGCACAGGCAGGAGTTCCCAGAGGAATTCCAGTTCCAAAGATAGACTTTGGAACCGACCACTAGCTCTACTGTAAAGGTATTAGATATACTGCCTGTATTAATCAGCTGCTAAACAGAAGAAAGCATTGCTGAAATGCACCTCTAACATCAGACTCCCAAGACATGAAAGCCACTATAATCAGATGACTGTTCTCATACAGTTTTTTCAAACTGCACTGGCACAGCACCATCTTCTGGTGAGCAAAAAGTTGGATTTGTTTTCTTTCAGGCTTTGAGAAAAAAGCTCTAGGCATATCAAACATAATTTTCACACAAGAAATAGTAATGTTAAATTTAAAAATAACAAACTTAAAGTAAACAATCTATAAAACACAGCAGTCACCAAAAATTTTTAGTAACCCCTGTTATCCCTAGAAACACACAAAGTAAAAAAATATCCCTTAAAATGTCTTACCCTCTTCATCAGGTACCAACCTTGCTCTGATTTCTGCAAGTAAAGAAAAATACATATTGCTTATATAATAAACAATGAAACCTCAAAGCACACATGACAACGCAATGTTCTTCTGAGCTTGTATGTGGAACACAATCACAAGGTCTGCTTTCTGGAGGAACCTTTGGATGACCTTTACAATATAGAAGTAAGAACTGTTGACCTCACTCTAGCATGAGCCAAGACATACCTGTGAAAAATACAAGTGTGCCAAGTGGACCATGAACACATTACTGCTAGACCTGAATCTCCATGAGTAGGCTGCACAAAGCCATTTTGAAGTACTCTGCTTGTTACTAGCTTGCTACAAATAACCTTAATATCACCATACCTCATTTTCATTTGTTGAATTTTCCAACAAGAAGATAACCGGTCAATAGTTTGATGCAAGTTACTTGATTATGCAGTCACTATTCAATTAACTCTACCTTCTTACACAACTAACTCAATTAGTAAGAGTCAGACTTGGCACCTGCTAGTTTCCCAGGTTTACATATAAGCATTTTTAACTAGACTGTGAAAATAGAAGAAAGGAATGAATACATGAAATAGGAAAATTTTAGACAAACCAACCAGGAATGCTTAGCTTTGCTTGCCATATAAAATGATGAGTTTCTCACAGTGGTACACATGAAAGATTTTCCTCCAATGTTGTAGCACTAGTATAACCAAAGTAAAATAAGCATGTCTAAGCTCTCTTTGAAAAAAAAAATAATAACACAACCAACACCCTTAGGAAATAACTGAATCCACATATGCCTGTTTTGAAATGAATTGCTCTATGTGGAATGTAACCCCAGGGCTATAACTGTGCTAGAACCACACACTCTGGGGTTTTACTGCATTGCAGGAGACCTTCTACAACCATGCTATCAAGTTCAGAGGCATTTACTGGCCTACCTTTCCTCAAGATTTATCAGCCCAACACAATTTTCAAGCTGAAAATGATCAGAGGGCTGGAGCACCTCTCCTACAAAGACTGTCTGAGAGAGCTAGGGTCATTCAGCCCAGAAGAAAAAAGGCTCCAGGGATACCTTATAGCAGCCTTTCAGTAACTGAAGGGGGCCAACGACAAAGCTGGAGAGGGCATGTAGCAATGGGACAAGGGCTAATGGCTTCAAGCTGAAAGAGGATAGATTTAGATTAGATATTGGGAAGAAATTCTTTCCTGTGAGGGTGGTGAGGCACTGGAACAGGTTGCCCAAGGAAGCAGTGGATGCCTCATCCCTGAAAGAATTCAAGACCAGGTCGGCTGTGGCTCTGAGTAACCTGCTCTAGGCAAAGAGGTTTGAACTAGATCATCTTTAAGGTCCCTTCCAACCCAAACCGCTCTATGACTCTAAAGTGGCACAGACGGCACACCAGCTGGGCACTGCCACCTCAACTGCGCTTCGGCCGGAGCAGGGTGAGGCCGAGGGGCCGGCAGTAGCAGGCTCACCTGTGGCACCACTCAGCCTGAGGAGAACAGAGCCCGGTGGCGCCCGTGGACCCGCCGGCGCTGAGGGCAGGCCGCTGACGAGCGTCTCATGGGGCACCCCGAGGCACTGCCCCACCGCCCGCGCGACGGCCGCCTGAGAGCCTCCCGCTTCCCGCCACGCTCATTTTAAAGGCTTCGGTGACGTCACCGCTGAAGCGGGGCGAGCCGTTAGGCGCGCACGTGCGCCGCCCCCAGCCGGGCCCCTGGAGGTCTCCGATAGGCGGAGGCCGGGGGTGGCGCGCAGGCGCAGTGCGTGGCCGGGCCGCGGGCGGGCGGGCGGGAGGCGGCAACCGTCTGCCGCCGCCGGTGCGCGGGGGCCGTCGCTCCCATGAGCCGTCGCTGCCCGCCTGCTGCTGCCTCGCTGCTGCGGGGGTTCATCGGCCCCACTGCCCTCTGCCTGGGCAGGAGCATGAGCCTCTGCGGGGCGCCGGCCGCCTGCGCCGCGGGGCCTGCGGGAGGCGGTGGCGGCGGCGCGGGCTTTTCCTCAGCGCGGCTGAGCCCGCCCTGGCTGCGGCTGCCTGAGGTGGCGGGCGCGGAGCCGCAGCGGGCCAACGAGCTGCTGCTGCTGCTCCCGCCGGCGGCGGCCCCGCGGGGCCCGGCCCCGCCGCAGCATCATGTTGTCTACTTCCCGGGGGACGTGCAGGTACGGCGGGGCGAGCTGCCAGGGCGATAAGTAATGGCGGGTGCGGGCGGCTGAGGGGGGGGGACGACGGGTGCGGGCGGCTGAGGTGGGGAGGACGGTGGGAGCGGGGAAGCGGCGCTGAGGGGAGCCGCTGCCCGCACAGGCTCTCCGGGGGTGAGGAGGGGATGGCGGTCGCAGTCCCTGCCGGGGTGCGGGGATCCCGCCGGGGCCAGCGGAGCGCTCCCCCTCGCCCCGGGGGGAAGTAGCATCTCTCGGGCGCTCTCTGCCCGCCGCCGCCGGGTAAACGTAGCGGGAACGGGCCGTTCTTGAAAGCTGAAACGGGAGCAGCAGCGGAGGGGGAGTCTCCTTTCACAGCGCTGTCCGCCGCGCCTCTGGCGGTGACGGCTCCCTCTGAAATGGTGTCGGAGCGTCTCCGCGGAGAGAGGGCAGGTGAAGGCTCCTCTGTCAGGGAGTGGAGCGACAGGACCAGGGGTGACAGTTTTAAACCGAAAGAGAGGAGATTTAAAATAGATATTAGGAAGAAGTTTGTTACTGTGAGGGCGGTGAGACACTGGAACAGGTTGCCCCTGTGGATGCCCCATCCCTGGAGGTGTTCAAGGCCAGGCTGGATGGGGCTTTGAGCGGCCTGGTCTGGTGAAAGATGGCCCTGCCCACGGTAGGGGGGTTGGAACTCGATGATCTTTAAGGTCCCTTCCAACCCAAGCCATTCTGTGATTCTATGAAATTCTAAAACGGCAAGTTTTCCTCAGCAGGCTTGGTGCCACGTCTCTGTGCAGGTGTACAAACAGCCCACACACCGTCCGGCAGGTATTTCGTGGGCACGGACACTTTCTCAGCGTGCCCCGATGAAGACACACGCTGTCTCCAAGTTGACAAGAAGCTGAAAAGAGAGACTTTGAAGTGCTGTCCCTAAGCGTGTGGGTGACCTCTGTAAGGTTACATACGCTGGTACTCTGGGTAGTTAGCTAATCTCAAAAGTCATTACTTCTCATAAGCAAGGGTCATGTCTTTTTGTTCTGGGAAAAGCTGTTCCTTTTATGTAAGATAAAGATGCAGAATTTTGTAGATTTTCATTCTAAAGATTGGAATGGACTAAAAAAACTACCATGATTACCATTTCTGGATATGGCTTTATTATTCCTTACTAAAATAAACTAATTAGTATTATTAGCCATTATGAATTCAGGGCTGATGATGGGTCATGACTTGGCGGTTAATTTTTTTCTAACTGTGGCACATCAGGATGTGAACAAGGGGAATAAAGACTCCCTACAGCTGAATGAGAGCAATTTTTTGTGTGTGTATAAAAATAAAAAACTTATTACAAAGTTTTAAGTCAATTGTTTGTCTCTAGTATAATCAGTATTTCTGCTGATGGAGATAATACAGTAAAATTATGTATTCTGTGTTACACTAAGTTGAAAAATACCTAAATATTCTCTTGGAATGAAGTTAACAAAAATTATGAATACTTCCATGTGCTTATTTTTATTGTATTTATTTTGGAGGTGTTAAGAATATGTAGTAAAAGTATTAAAGTAGAATAAGTAAATCTAAATATGGCAGCTTCTTTAATGTGTTCTGGAAACTTAGCAAGCAAGTGCCTCTAATGGATGTTTCTCTGTTAGTTACAGTCTGTCTTATGAATAGAAGTACACTAGACAGAGCTGAAGTATTTTCACGATGTAGTAATGTGGTTTTTTTCTTTTTTTTTTACTTTATTTTTCAGAACTATCATGATGTTATGTCTTGCCACCCAGAAAACTTTCAGTGGGAGAACTGGAGTTTTGAAAATGTTGCTACCATACTTGCCCGCCGGTTCCCTAATAGCTTTATTTGGGTTGTAAAGTGTTCTCGAATGCACCTGCACAAATTCAGTTGTTACGACAACTTCGTGGCGAGCAACATGTTTGGAGCACCAGAGCACAGCACCGACTTCGGAGCTTTCAGGCATCTCCATGCGTTGCTGGTTAATGCATTCAGACTCTCTCAGAATATTCTGCTGTCCCAGAAAAGCGTGCATGGTGTCAGCAAGGATGCAAAAATAGCTGCCTGTAAATCCCAGCCGCAGTCTGTTCCTACAACAAATGGTTGCTCATCCACAGAAAGAGAGAGAGATTGTGAATGCTCTAATAATTCTGCTATGAACTTCATTATACCGTCTGCTGTAGGTGCAGTGTCGTTTACTTTGATTGGCTTCAGTAAAGGTTGTGTGGTTTTGAATCAGCTGCTCTATGAGCTGAAGGAAGCTAAAAAAGACAAGAATACAGATGCCTTCTTAAAAAACATAAAAGCAATTTACTGGTTGGATGGTGGTCACTCGGGAGGAAGCAATACTTGGGTTACTTACCCTGAAGTGCTGAAAGAACTTGCACAGACAGGAATTGAAGTTCATGCTCACGTTACACCATACCAAGTGTTTGACACAATGAGGTCGTGGATTGGGAGAGAGCATCAGAAGTTTGTACAGACACTTGAAGAATTTGGTGTGGAAATAAATGACCAACTACATTTTGCCGATGATGCTCCCTCCTTAGATAACCATTTCAGAGTTCATGAAGTATTTTGAGACTGTATGTATCTGAATAGTATATTCATTGTAAAAGCACTTTTGATACTGGAAATGTTGTCATTTAGATTTACACCTTTGAGCAGATGCTTTCTGAAGAGAATACTAAATAAGTCCTGTGTTGCTGATAGATACTATGTATAAATTTCAGAAGCTTAAAAAGGAGTATTGGGACCTCATACTTACAACAGATGTCACTTGGTTCCTGGTTAAAAAAGCGTCATGAAGAACTGTCCTATACTTTTGCTTTTGTTAAATGTGAACATTTATTTTCAAACTGTTGGAAAAATTTTTAGTCCTGGGTGTCTAATGTCATATACTGTCTTTAATGGGAGTTTAAAGTACTTAAGACTTTCAAATGTCTGGATACTTCCATTTAGTAGCTTTCAAGGCTAAAATCTTTGGGCTTTGTCAATAACAGACATAACGTTAGGATTTTGGATTAAGGAAAATGCTGATTGTTAGAACAATCTTAGTTACAGATTTTCATTAATATTGTTTTAATTAGTTAATGAAGTCTTCCGGGTTTGCAACGTTTCTCCTATTGAAACAGTGTCACAAATATTTACCTTTGGAATGGTAGTGCCAATCCATTTTCCTTCTTTATGTGCGCCTTGCTTTTTCTGTCACTGTAAAGTTTCATTGTGTAGTATCTGCTAGTGAATGGGCATTTCACCTGTGGGCTTGAAATTTTTGACATAGCTAAGTGACCAAGAATGTTGATGAGAGTGTAACTTATTGCTCTTTCGACATACCTTGCTATTGCTTTGACTAACGTCTATAAGGACCAGCAGTAATATCTGTATTTTCAAGTCAAGAGGTGTCTTTATCCCTGCCTTGAACTGGTGCGGGTTTTTTTCTTGGTAATTGCTGCATTGATGTTGATCTACGTGGAGCCGTAAGTACATAACGTATTAAAAGTTGCATAAAAATTTTAGACTGTGTTGACTGCAGCTGTTTCAAAATGTTTCAGTTTGGTGAACGATTATCTCCTTTAAACGTACAGCAGTAGCTGCTTCTACAGCCAGCCAAGAATCTATTTTCAGAGACAAATTTTCTCTTACAGAAAAAAAGTCTTCTAATTAAATACAAAGCCAGACAAATCAGAATGAAAAGATGGAATCTAGTTCAGGCCCCAAACCTCAATGTTCAGAAAGAATTGCTGAAAAATGGACAAATGAGGGTATTGGTGGAAATTTTATACTGTTGTAAGTAACTTTTTCCATTTATCTACAAATAAATCTTAGAATCACTCTTAAAGACAACTGCAGCTATTAACAATAAACCAGAAGCTTACAATGGTTTTCACTTTCCTAGAAGTATAGGAATACAAAAGCAAGTTAGCAAATCACTGAAGATTGCACAAGAAATTCAGCTCACTGCTGAAAAAAAGCCATTTTATTCGACTTTGTTCCTATGTTTGATGGCTTAGCAAAATCTTCCTCCTGCTTCTTGCTTCCCATGACTCTTACACTGTGAAAGGAAAGTCCTGGTTCATCTTTCTTCTATGTGCACCGTTAAAACTTACAAGGTTCACTGGAGGCAGTAATTTCACAGCTCTTGCAGTGGTTGTGCACACGTTAGTGAGCACTGCAGAATGAGGAAAGTGTGGTGAACTCTCAAGAGAATTTTCTTAATACTCAGAATATTAAGGGTGGTAGGATTATGCATACAGTGTGTACCTTACAATGTGAATGTGAACTCTGTTGTTAATAATAGACTAATGTACATAGTTAATCAAAAGGGGAAACAATCTATTTTAATTGATGGAGAAAAGTGGAACTAATTTATTTTAATTGGTGGAGAGAAGTGGAACATACAATCTAATTCTAACATTTTATGAAAGAATCTGAAATCTAGTTCCATGAGGTTTTTTCCTAAAACTCTCTCTTGGAGACTTTGTTCAATCCTATTTATTGATTACTTTCTTAATGGGCCTATATGTGTTGCAAGGAAGGCTGTTTCCCTTTTTTGGTCCTTTTGCTAACATTTGCACTATACACAGGGACTTTTTTCTGTAAAGGAAATATGAGTCACCAAACAAAGTGGTTTTAATATAAAGCCTACAAATTGCTTGGAATATCTTTGATTATCTACTTATAAAATAAACTTTAAAAAAAGAAACAACAGAAAACCCCAAAACACCCCACTGATCTTGCTCCCTCTCATTTCAGTCTCAGACTGACCAGGCTAACTCGATTATGCTAACACTTGCTTTGTCCAATAACAGTGCACATCACAGACCAATTTCTAAACAATTCTGTGCCAGCCAAAACAGCAGGAGTAGCTTGTTGCAAGCTTTTGGAAACAGCTATTAAAATACTGACATTTCTTCGGGAGTTTCTGGATGGCTGTCCTATGAAAATAATATTAACCTGTTTGATGGAGGCTGCTTACAATAACTGTTAAGTAGGTTCAAGTGTTGCTGTATTAATTTGAAAAATAAGCACTTTGTTATAAAACTAATCTTGTTTTGAGACTTCATGTTGTGGAGAGAAACTGGTTGTTTTTGATTCTCTAAACAGTTGTAGTACTCCATTGGAATATGCCTCTGTCGTTCACTACAATGCATGCTAAAAATAAATTTTGTAAACAGTGTCAAAAGTAAACTATTTCTAATGGGTGAAACCACTTTGATGTGACCATAAAACCATTAAACAAGGAATGTGCAGTTACGTTTTGTGGATTAAGCTTTATCAGGTGTTTGATGGGGATCTAGTTTAAAGAAACCAGCTTTATTTGATAACTTTTCTCCAAGGCAGGCTTTGTGTTTGTGTAGCCAGCATCTGTAGGTCTGAAACAGCTTACAAACATCTCACGTACATGGGAAAGCTGGCATGTACCCAAGGGTGTGAACGTTTCGGTGTTAGGATGACAGGGGTCACAGTTTGTATGAGCCTATCTTTTGACATTAACTGTAAAGGGAGTTTTTAATAAGCTTACATGTAAAGTTAAGTGATTCTCATGCTTGCTTAGAGTGGTTTGGTTCAAGATGTCTCTGGTTTTGAATGCAGTGAGCAACATTACATAGCCCTTAGTACAACATAGTATGTAATAGCTGGTGTTTTATATATTACATGCTTGTTTCTTGTCCAATAGACGAGACATTCTTCAGATTTTGAGAAATGCTAAAATGTTTTAAGCTTTGCCTGTTAAATTCCTTTAAAACAGGGCTTAGTTCTGTGAAATTATCCAGATTCTTTATGACTTACATGATTTTATTTTGTGTGCATCTTAAATACTAGAAACTTTGGTAACCTTTTTCTTATCTAGGACTAATTTAGTCACGTCTCCAAATTCTGCTGCGTAAATCAGCATCAGCCCCTGATTTTGAAAGGTGATTAAGGGTCCAAGTCTTAACATACTGCTGAAAGGAGCAATCTTTTCTGTCCTCCCATTGATAACATTGTGCTGCCTCTCATGTGGTAGCACAGGCATTTTATGGTGAGCTGTTCTATCTTACTAAACATTATTGCTGATAGAGTGCTATCTATTTAAATAGCCATAGAAATTATTTTAAATAAGACTGCAATGTCAAGTTCAGGAGTTAGGGTGTTACAACTGTGGATATTCACAGATAAAAGTGATTGTGCACGATCATGTGTTCATTTTCCCAACAGGTTTTTTAGAGCTATTTGCAGAAAGAAAATGTCACCTGTTTTTTTCTCCCCCTCGTGATTTTCACAGTCCCATCTTTCCTAAGCTAACGGTTACTTCACCATCTCTGCAGATAAACAATATTTGTTGTCTGAAACTTGAAGCACTGAGGTTAAAGTATACCCATCCATTTACCTTGAATTTTTATTTTCAATTCTTATGACTTGATATAAGAGAGAAGGTAAAGAACAGTAAAAATTTTGGAGTGTGTGTGCTTTGTTGTGAGCTGCATTTTTAGGTACATCACTGCCTAGCAGAATCCACAAACATGAATTGTGTCTGGAGCCCCTTTGCCACACAAAAGCAAAGCTCTGCGTCTTGGACTGCAATTCACGAGAGAAAGCCTCTTCAAATCATCTTTGGAGTTACTTCTTCACAATCTTTTCAATCTCATATTGAAATCTCATTTCATTTTTTTTTTTTAAGGATGGTAGATTACAGGAAAAAATAAGTTTGCTTCTGATGCTCATAATGTGATGAAAATTTAGACATTTAAAAATTGCAGATGGAGACCCTAGAGCAAGGCTGGCTTTCTGTTGGTCCTACTGGTCTCTTAACTCTGTTCAGACGCAAGGTGAAGTATTAACAGCATGATTCACTCCTGCTGACAGAACCCACACAGGATTAGTTGTTCCATATCACTGTGGAGCCCGTGAAATTCTGATTCAGGCAGTCATTTTGCATATAATGTATTTTGGGTTATAAACTAGTGATGGCTTTGTAGTTGTTTCCTGTCATTAGGGCTTTGTTACATGTTTCCAAGTGACCCAAGAAGTGCCAAATTCTACTTAAGCAAATGAACAGAAAAGCATCTGGTAGAACAAAAGGGAAAAATATATTCTTATCTGGTTTTAGTTCATGTGTATAAATATCTCATGTACTTGAAAAGGAGCAGAATGCCGTTGCTTCAAGGTTCAGAATAAATTTTCCTTCTTCTAGTGCGCTTTCAGAGAGCACTTTCAGTCACAATTGTTAGCTTCCTTTGTTAAACTGGGCACTTCAGAGCTGAGTTGTTTCTAAAGAAAGCACTGCTGCAAGACACAGAAAACAGTCAAGGACACAGCAACGCTGAAGTGCAAAACAAGGCTCATCACGTCTCCTGCACCGGAGTTTACCCTCTGAGCTGTACTCCTAAGCCTGGGTGTCAGGTAAAGCTATGGCATCCCTTACAGGCTGTCTGCATAGCTCTTCTTTCTCATTCCCCAGTGGGAGAAATACATTGATTTTGTGTGGTGGAAGTTTTAAGCAATTGTCTGTTACTGGGATCTCTGTTAATTGTTGCAAGCAATAGCTTCTGAGCATTTTTGTACAAACAGCATTGCATGTGGAGCAGTGCATTTTACATGGTTGAGCAATTCTTTTAATATTTTCAATCATCTGGTCTTAAAAATGTTGACTGGGAACATATCTGAACAATTGGAAAGGAAGTAATCTGCTCTTGTTGCTCTCAGGAATCACCACTTAAAAGAGATCATTGCTGTCAGGAGTTACCACATGGTTGAGAATAGATCAGAATCTATCCCCGGCCCCAGAGTCTGGCCCAAACCAAACCAGGACATCCTTTACCAAAAACTTAGATAACTGGAAAAAAATAATAGCTCATCTGTCCTTCTAGTAACACTGGATTCTTTAATTATTGAGTTGTAGTGACTTAGAGAGAATCCCTTGAAAAAGTTACTGTCTCAGAACTTGTGTCTTCACCACCTGTGTTGTCTGCTTGGAAACATCTAAAGGTTTCAGGTTTGGGAAGACACGTTTTGGCCAGAGGGAAATAGAAGTCTGCACAAGAGTGTTTTTGAAGCTGTGAAGTAATGCATTTGGAGATCACACAGTATGTAATACAACCTCTACTATGGTCAAATCATCCTCTAGTCAAGTTAGTCCTGTTGTGGGACTAACAGTGTGAATGAGGCCAATAGTTTCATCTTGCACATTTAAAGAGTCAAACCCTTTCACATCAGGCATTTAACTTGACACTTGCATTAAGAACCTAGAGCCTGTGTGGATCCTGAGAGAAACACATTCTTAAATTAGGTACATCAAATCTTCAGCACATACACGATGGGCAGATTTGTAATGATCTGTTTAGTAGTTTGACAAGAAAATATTTTGACCTGTTTTTTTTTCATTTGATTCTTTCCACAGCAACCACACCAAGCAAAATGTAGAAAACATTTATCTTCTGAAATTATTTGTCATCCTTTATATTTCATATGACCAAGAATAAACAATTCTTTCTGGGTATTGATCTGCAATGAATTTACATTTTAAAAACCTCAGTCACCAAATTTTTAGAGTAATTCAAAGATGTGGGCCAAGTTCAAACTGCTGATTTCAGATACTGTCTATATTTAAGCATCTTAACTCATCCTGGGCTGTCTGCATCACCTGACTCCTCTGTTGCAGACCCTGTTTGAAGTGGCTGGTTTGAATGCTTAAGATGGTCAGGGTTTATTTTTCTACTACCTGTTAGCACAACTTCATCTGTTTTATTGTGGCATGATCCTGTATTGCTTTAGCTCTCTAAAGGGCAAACTTCCACCAAATGTCATTAGCTCTAGTTCTATGTGTTATTTCAGTAATGGATTTTTAAGTCTGGCTACATGTATTCTCACTGTGTTAGCTGGAAGTTATTCCTTTAATGCTTTTATCATTCACTCATCACTTTATTGCCTGTTTCACACCATGTAGCATAGTGGTTTGAAAGCACAAAGTAATTTTATTATTTCTTTTAAACACAGTAACTTAAACATGTTTAAGCTGCTTGGTTTCTTCTTTTGTAGCATTTAAGAAACAATAGTTTTATAGAAGTTATTAACTAAGAAATTGAAGAAACTGGTTCAAAGTAAAAGCACTGACAGAACAATTACTGCTGTACTCTTCCCACTGATCTACATAAAATAGTTTATGTTGATCTTTCATGAATATGCACTTACCTCACATCTGGTGGGGTTACTGACAATCTTAGAGAAGCAAAAACCAAAGGGGTCATGGGGAAGGAAAAAAACCCAACCCACTGTCATTGCAGAGATTTCCCATAGCACACTGGAAGCAGAGCATGAGCAGGACTGGGTTATCCATCAGGGGGAAATAACTCAATTTGCTGACATATAAAAATAAAATAAAGGTTTCATTTTAAAGTTGGTAGTGTGAAGAGGAAATAGCTGCACTTGTTATAGCACTTGGCTCACATTTAATTCAGCGTGATCCTCTCTTCCCAGCAAGACACACAGTTCCCAATCCAAACGTCACGCTAGCCTAAACAAGAGAATTATTGCAGCTTTCCTGCTGGGCTACCTCAGCACTAATAACTGCAACTGAGGGATTCAAAGGTTTCACTTGGCCTAAGGTGTTTAGATTAATAGTTCAATACTCCTTTACAAAATAAAAAGGAGGTTTGAAAAATACTCAGAATGACAGCCTGAATACTTGTGGCTTGGTGGATCTTATTTATGCTTTTACATACAAAGTATGAAACACGTATTATTGAAAGTCACTATTAGGTGGCACAGCAGTGAATGCGTTTGACCCACAGGATTTTTCCCCTTTTACTTCTCCCCAGGAGCCCCAAATGGCTCCCAGCCACCCTCCAGAGCAAAGCAGGCACTTCTCGCAAGCTGGGACATAAGCAGATTGCTCATACACTGATTGCTGCTCCACGAAGCTTTCCTTATTTATACTCGTGTGTTGAAGGGGGCTGCAAACACCAAACGAGCACTTGGAGAATCAAGAAATGGCAGAATGGGGGATCAGCACGGTACTTCTCTGTACTCACACACTGAGAAACTGCCGGTGGTTGGAGTGCACAGAGATAGCAGCCGTGCAGGCTCAGTGCTGGGACACAGCTCTGCGTAGCCCTGCAAGCTCCCTGAGCCTCTCCGTTTAGTCCAAACGCACAAAGACCATGCTCTGAACACCTCTGCAGAACAATGCAGATGGGGCCCTCGACACCACCAGTCCAACAAAGCCAAAAGGCTTCCCCAGCCTGACGGCCACAGAGATCCTGTCTCAGCAGTGTGCACAAGCAATCCTTGTTCATTTTCAAACAACAATTTTGGGAGACCTATTTGTGATCCCAAATTTAAATTCTACCCTCAGAACGTACAATGATGCCCATCAGAATCGCTTGGCTGATTCCATTCATGCCTATTCATTAAGATGGCCGAGTGCCCATTCACATGGGAGCAGGCTATTTTCACTGTGCTGAGCTGCCAAGAACAGGTTTAGAAGAACAATCTGCACAGTGTTGCAAGCCCCTGCTCCTCCGGAGAAAGTTTTTTCCAGCACATTATTAAGACTACTTATTTAGTTTAAGAGCTTTTGACAAGTTAGTTCTCAAAAAAAAACTCCACAAAACCCTGCTGGAAGTAACAGGCTGACCTAAATGTGAGATAAATGCTGCGTTCCCCAAACAGCACAAGTCCTACTATCAGAGCGATTCCAGAGAGAGGATGACAACCCCTCTTTTCTGCGAGATGCTTATCTTTATTTCACAAGGTTTTTGTAACCATCTACAATCCCTCTACAACAGGCTCCACGCCAAAAGGTGCAATGCACCCCCCTTTCATATGGTAACATAATGCATCTCAAACACCTCTCCCTATAGATTCTGCATCTAATTCAGAACTATGACCTTCATTTCAGATTCTAGGACTGAAGCTGGATGGATTTGTGGGCGCACACAGCTGCAGGAACAGCAGTGCTGCCCAGCTGCACCGGGGCAGCCACAAACAAGGTTTGCTGCACAGTACCTTGCCCAGCTAGGAAAGGGGTACATCATTTACCTTGCAGTCAAGCTGCTGCACAATTCTAAGCTTAACCTCGCATGATTATCTTTTGCTGGTTTTCTCATGCTCACTCTCAGTTTCACCACAAGAGGGCGCAGAAAATCCCCACTCTTGCTCCCAGGCTATTACTCAAAACATGACCCTTAGGAACCACCACCAATGGCTTTCTTCAACCCCCTCAGAAACCACTACTGTTTCCCTAAACTTTAGTAAATGAGGTGGCATTCAGGAAGATATTCAGTTACTCCTAAGCACACATGCTGTCTGCCCAGCCCACGTACCAAAACTGTTGTTCAGAAAAAATTCAGAGCACTCCAAAAAACATAGAGTTGTCAGTGCAGGCACTGCAAATGTATGCCTCATTATAGAAGAGAGACCATCTCCAGATCAAGCAGATTGTGCACTCCCTGCATATGAAGAAAAAACAACCAAAAAAATCTACAAAATAAACATCCATCTATAACAAAGTCTATCAACATAGTTTTTATTAGTCTTACAGAAAGTGTGTGTATATACACATGGACCGTTTCCATAACATACCATTCCCTACTTTCACAGGAGCTTGCTGGATCCCAGTGTGTTATTTTATCCATAATCATTCCTATAAGCTTTTTCTTGGATGCGTAACACCATTCTCCGCGCATAAAAATCCCTATATTCCTCAGGTAGTTCCTCAAGTGTTTTCAAGGCCCTGTCCAAGATCTGTATAGCTCTAGAAGCTGCAGTGGGATCTTTATTTCCATAAGTGTCAGTCTTATCATAGGACTCAGCAGGAAGATGCTTCCAAAAGACATTCAGTGCCACTCCAAATTCCTCAGAAATCACATTGTGGAACCACAAAGCTGTAGAAAGAAGAATGTCTAAAATGAAAACTATTATCTGAAACTTCCATGTGACTCACGACACGGGTCAGAATTATCCAAACTAAATATAGTTGAGGAAAAGTCTCAACTACTGTATTTTTTGTTTATTTATAGAAATTAATCCCTGGATATATTGTGTTGTACCAAATTTAAGAAATTCTTCGAGATGTTCACATTGATCCATAATTTCACACAAAAGTAACAATTGCTGAAGTATAAAGAGATACTCAAAGGCAAACAAGCGATAAGCATGTGTAGGATGAAAAGAAGACATTTTCCCTGTTCACTTCACTCATCTCTACTCTGAATGCAGATACTTATTTTCATAGATTTACTCCCTAACCTTGCACAGATTGTCCAAGCATTAATGTAAACCACCAGTGTCAGCCAGGTTACCCATGCAAGTTTTTTATCTTTTTATAGGAAAGTCATGAGGCTTTTCAACTGAATCATCATGGCTGTCATAAGGAAGCAAAGACATTTTTGCTTCATCAAGTACATTTTAAAAATAAGCTTAATATGGCATATTTACCCTATTTCAATTTTAAGCTAAAAGATTGAATGCTGTGCTTGTTGCAGCTTAGTTGCTTGTATGTGCTGAAGATGTCAAAAAAAGCTTATTCTGAGAAATGAACAAGTTTCTTTCAGGATAGGAAGAGGGGCTGCTCTCTTCCTTCTCCATAATAACCACATACATTTCTCAAAGAACATCTTTTTCAGCAGTTAGCACCCCAGAATGCTGAAAAAGCTAGTACCTTTCTCTGGACTCAAAAATCCCAGTCAAAATTTCTTAAGAGTACTGAGTGTCTCTTACTTGGACCAGCACACCTACTGGCAAAGACAAACTGGAATCTGTACTGCAGGGAACAAACCCAAAATGATGTATGCTGACATTAGCAACAGCGTGACATACCTTCACTAACTCTAATGAAAAGTTTCATCAGAAAGAAACACAAATGGTAAACTCAAAATTAGGTAACGGGTCCAAGGCTAAGAATCTATTTTAGATCTTCCTAAAAAGCTACTGCCTTCTTGTTTATGGGCCTGTTTATAGTGCCCAGACAATATGAAAAGCAGCAGAATAAGTATCTGCCACAAGCTCATGGTGAGTAAAAATGAAAAATTATCAAGTAGGAATAGTGCAATAGTGCCTCCCTCTGATCACCAGAATTGTCATCTCAGCCCATGAAGCAGCTTTATATTTTCTGCTTGTGCAGAAAAATGAGTAGGACTTGTCTTTCCATTCCCCAAAAGTGATTATAAATTTCTAGATGGCCCAATAACTCTACCATCCTTAATTCTCTTCAAATCACGTGCCTCACAGTTCTTAAGTGCCAGAGCTACAGAAGAACAAAAATGGTACTTCACTCAAATTCTGTCATTAGAAAATTTAGGTCACTGAAGTAATTTCAGGTTTCACAAGTTGATTTTGTAGTACTAATCTATTAAGACACGAATTCAGAAGCATACAGTGTAATCTTAAGGGAAGGTAAGATTTGCAGGTAGATGTAATAATACCTTTTATTAAGCTAATTACTACATTTGGCAGAAGTAGACAAGTTTTGATAATGTCTTTAGATGTTCCTACTTATAACACAGAAATGCTTTAGTAACCTCTTACCATCTCTAGAAATGAAAAATTGTAAACAAAACTTTAAAACACAACATAGTCAGAAACTATTTGTTACTTACCTGGAATAAATAACACATCTCCTGCTTCCAGGAAACATTGATAGCGCTTGGCTTTCACAAAAAGGGGATATTTTTCCAAGTCTGGGTTATCCACATCCAGCACCTCTGATTTAGTACCTAAGGAAGTTTTCAGAAGTAAAGAGTAAACGTTCCTACTCTTCCAACAGTAACAAAGCATTATCACATTGCTGGAAATGCCAGTTCTTTAATAAAATTTAATACTGGTTTATCATTCTGTAACTCTTTTAAAAACCAGGCAAACCTGATGGCACTCCTTATTTAGTGAGGAGACATGTTCTCCTGCTGTCCATATTTCTCCTGTAAATGCAACCTTATAAACACTAAAATACACTTTCCCTGACATATAAAAGGCTGTTTTGAATCCAGAGAGAGCACTGTACTCCTCCACAGCTAGGGACTGAAAACAGTACCTGGCAAAGCTGCTGTGCTCCTTTGCATATTTCCTAACCTGCCCTACTAAAATAATGATTAGCTTTGACCAAACAGCATCAGAATTGTGAGACCAAATGACTTCTTTTATATCAAACTGTCTGTTAGTGATTTTTTTCTTCTGCAGTGCAAAACCTGTGAGCTGGAACGGCACCTACAATCACCAAATTCTGAACTAGATAAATGTGGCACGCATACCTGATAAATATAAATACGGTGCATCTCGAGGACTGTACAAAACAACTCGTTTTTTCCCTGTTACTTGGATTAAGAAGTTATCCATTACCTGGAATAAGCATAGTAAGACAGATGTCAGCCAAGAGTTAAGAATGAGTACACAGCCTGCAACCAATCTAAAATATCATCAGCTTAAAAGAGGGAATTATTAAAACGTTCATATGTTAAGAATTAGCTAAAAGAGCTTCCATGCAGAGTTAATCTAAAATACTCAAGAATGTGAGTTACTTTAACCTCTTAGCTGCACATTCTTGACAAACAGTACATTTGGAAACACAATATTGCTTTCCAACAACTTTAAGTTTTTCCTTAAATAGGAATCAAGTTCTTCCGTCTTAAAACAAAGACATACCATACTTTAGATGTATAAACCAGCAAAATATAAACCAAAATATATTTGGGATTCCTTTTCTTTTTCAGTGCTACCTCTACCTCATTTTGCTGACTTTCTATTGATAAAGGATTTTTTTTCCTAATTACAATGCAAAAACCTATTTTTCTTATAAATACATTTATTAATAAATGCACTGCACAATGCAATTGTGAGATAATCTTATTTGGCATCTACCACATTGCAGCAACAAACCACCCAAATCATTGTACAATTACCAACACTCTGGCCACTAGAATTGAAAAAAAGAAGATAATCTTGAAGATGAAAATGTTGACATTTTCCGTGTTCCAGATTTTTAACTGAAACTCAAAACAGTAAAAAAATATGTGAAGTTCGTCATTAACTGATCTTTTTCACAGATTTGCACCTTCATATCTCAACTCTGTATTGCCATCTGCAACATTTGATGCTAAACACATGTATTACCTACATCATAATGTGTCCATAATTGTAATCCAGCTGAGCTGATGCGGAAGACACTAGAGAAAAACTGTTCCTTCTCAAAATACTCTGGAATCTGAATATCTTCTGCCAAATTAGGAAACTGCTTTCTGATATCTGCAATATCCTGAAACAAAAAGGACATAACTCTTAGAAACCCATATAAGCACACTAAAATAAGGGAGCACTTCACTATCATTTCCCATTATACGAAACACAGGGCTAGAACTTCAGTGTTGGTGAATAGCTGCAAATAGCAATGCTTTTTGGTGGTCACCCTTTCAGCATTGACTTGGTCAATGATATTAATAAGAACAGACAGGGAGATGCTTGGAACCATGGCTGCTGAAAATCACACTGAAGAAGCAAGAGATCATCAGAAATCCTTTTATGTTAGTTTACAACAAAAGTTAAAAAATGGGAGGTGAGGAAGGTGTCTCTTCAGTGATCAGCTAAACTCTTGTATAACAGCAACTATTTTAGACACTTAGGTTTAAATATTCTGACCTAAATCCATTCAAATTCAGAGGCCAAGTGACCATAAGCAAGGTGTATGCCTGTACTACACAGCCAGCAGATGAAAACAGGCTTTAAAAAATACTCCTGAACTGCTACTTTACAATATTAGAACTGTAATCTCAAGTAACTCACCTTCCTAGCATCTGCACCCACTGACCGCAAATAGTACTTTTCATCCTGAAGAAAAAACAAAACAAAACAAGAGTTTTGGGTTTTTTTTAATATTAATTACAAACACACTTGAACAGAGAGCCTGAATTTTTCTCACCAGTCTAATGCAGGGCTTCATTGAAAAACAGTACAAATAAATGGCACTTACAAATTCAGCTACTTTGGTTTTACTGCCTTTACTCTACTGCTCCCTGCTGTTCATCTCAAGACATCGGAAAAATATGTTATTTAACTGAGAGCGGAAGAGTGAAATAGGGGGAGACTGCCAACTCCTTTAGCATTGCTGTTACTAAACACATTCAAAGCAAAGGCAAATTATACTTTAAGTTCTTCAGCACACTGATGCAGGAAGCTATTTCAATTGGCTTCAACGTATTCTATGTAGCATAAAAGGTGAAAGCATGTCTGCATTGAGAACTGCTTGCTTCCCAATCACAGTTACTTGAAAAATCTCTAATTTGAACAGTTCCATAAAGACAGCCACACATTTGCTACTCACAAACTATGTTACAATAAATCTGTATTTGTATTTTGATAGCAGATGTAATCAAATCAAATAGCTTAATGATATCTTCTTGCAAAACTAACACATTGACAAAAACTAAATTTATTGCAATAACTAAATGATAGTTATTATTCTAAAGCAAGGTTTGATTTCTCAATTTTATCCTGGAATTTTTTTGCCATGTAAGTGGTTTTTGTTAACAGAAACAGGACCACTGAAGTTAACCACACTGTACACTGACATGGCTCCAAGCCACACAAAACAGTTAAATCTAAGATTAAGTGCGTTACTGGAGTAAGACTTTAAATCACAAACCATTGTTTTCCCCTCCATATACTGGCAAAATAACTGATAGAAGTACCTGTCTCACTAAGGAAATTACCTCAGAAAGAAAGTATTCCCTGTGTTTGACTTCAGCTGCTCTTCGTACAAATACATCAAAAGGCAGAGTTCTGAAATATAAATATTTAAATTTATACAATGAATCAATGTAAATTAACACATGGTCTAAATGCCAGGTTTAAAATCATAAGCTCTCTTACCATATCTAGTATAACTGAAGATGCAATATGCTGCCTTTTTTTTTTTTTTAACACAGTGACTAATCAGTGTTTGCAGTGGATGTTTGAAGAGTTCTACTGAGAAATAAATCCTTCACTTAAAGTCTCTGCTTTAGTAAATTGCTCCAGTATAGCTGCAAACAGAATCATGTAATTGCTGATGCTGGAAGGTCCTCCAGTCCAATCCCCTTCCCAAGAGCAGGGTCTACTACAGTAGATTGCCCAGAAGAGCTGGGTTTTGCTTATCTCCAAGGATGGAGACTCCATAACCTCTCCAGGCGCCCTGTTCCATTGTTTGATCACTCTCACTGTAAAAGAGGGGTTTGGTTTTTTCAAATAGTTTAACAGAATTTCCTGTATTTCAACTTTTGCCCGTTGCCCCTCATCCTGCCACCACGAACCACTGAGAAGAATCCGGCTCCATTTTCTTTACTCCCTCCATCAACTATGAATACACTTTGGTAAGACCCTCCCTTAAGCTGAATGGTTTGAGTCACAGTGCAAGAAATTTCTTCACTGTCAGATTAGACTCCAACTGTGGCCAATACCTGACAGTATTTGCTTAGACTATTTCTCTAACAGTGTGACATTTTAAGGCTTGTTTACTGTGCACTTTTATAAATGTGCAGAAAAGCTTAGCATCAAGAAAACTACTGCTGGTGACATACGTATGTTTATATATATGCATTTTCTGCTATAAATTTGTGCATGAACACAGCTACCTGTCTTCATTTGTAGATCTTTAAAATTTATTTTAGTTATATAGCACATATTTAAAAAAATTCAGATAAGCTGAGCAAAGCACAGGAATCTTGGTATTTTCAAGTGTTTCTTTACAGTTTTCCTTGAATTTCTTTAATAAAACTTCAGAAAATTCAAAAATAATCATTGGTCATTAAAGCCCAGACCCTCTGAAGTCAATAATAGTGTTATATGTTTTTTTAAACAATGGGAGCTTTTCATAAGGATTACAGATTTTGGCATCAGTTCATAGCTGAATGCAAACCACATACAAGTAGTAATATGACAAGCATTCCTTGTTATGAATTCAATGTTATGTTCATTCAATTCACCATCTCACGTCATCACTGGATAACAAATGTATTGCTTGTCAACAGCACATTTCAGAGCAGTCACCAAGTACCCAGAGTTAAGATGAAACTATCCTCAAGCAAAATTTTTCATGATCCTGCTATACTTTCTACCAGAATGCGACCTGCATCTGACAGCACTCAGACCCCTTCTCTAAACATTTGAGGCTTGTTTGTAACAGTCAAATACAACAACCACCCCAGTCAATGGAAAAACAAATAAACAAACAAACAAAAACTAACCCTCTAACTTCAGCCGAACTGTTGCATCATGCTTATTTACTGAAGAAAAGTGAGAGCACAGCTCCATGACAGCTTAAACTGATGCATGCTGGTGCTGCCACAGCTCTGCCCTTGCTGTCTACCCTAATCATCACATCTCCTCCCTTACGCTAGCGCTGGCACTCATCTGACCTCAGGGTGAACCTGCTAGCAAAGCTAAAACAGCAGAAAAACATTCAGGTTTCGGCAGCACATCACAAAGTGGCTGAATGAACTCCAGAACCAACACAAAGACAGGGGTAGGAGCACGCAACTTAAAACAAGACTGCAGTACTACTCATGTACATCAGTTTAAAATCACGGAACTGCATGTTAAATCCTCATTGTTTCTATTCTATTCTTATTCTCCCTTCACATTAGAATGAGAGGCTTGCTGTGGAAAAGGTCACAGCTTCCTGAATTTCAAGTTAAGTAGACGAAACTCCTAACACTTGCTATAACGAAGGGTCATCAGAGCACCTCCATGAGGCTGTCTACAGACCCGCTAAAACTAGCCTGCAGGATCAACTGGGTGTGAACTCACAGTAAGAGATATTATAATAAGAAACAAAATAGAGCAGGGAAAAGGAAATATGGAGATAAGGCAAAATCATTCAAGTACAACCTAATTTCAAAGATTCAAAAGTTCAGTATGCAGTGAACAGAGTATAGCATGATTATAGGGTGTTTTTTCCCCTGAACAGGCTCCACTCATAGAAACTTGTAGCTTGTTTACACTTACAGCGTACACATCAGCCTTTTTAAAAGTTTAATGGACTGATCACATCTTGTTCCCACTTAGGGAAAAAAAGCAACAACTGAAATAAAGGTATTTACCCTTGAAGGGCAACACAATGACTGAGATTAGACGAACTCTGAAGAAATGTTTTGGCAGCTACATGAGAGGAACTTCAGAGAAGATCAAGAGTTTATGTGACCCATATCAAGATTAAAGAGCTGGTGAAACGTGTGGTATCCAGTAGTTTGAACATTCTGAGAACTGCACGTGCAAACTTTGAAAGGAGCTTGGTTTTAATTAGTAACATCCCTCTAGAGTGGAATAGAATGCTTGCCACATGCCAGCATTCAAAGAGGTTCAGACACATGCCAAGTCAAAAACTATCACTGTTCAGTAACACTGAAAATGCACCATATAATTAGAACAAAATAACATATCATCTAGTATCGTGGGGTTTTGGGGTTGGGTTGGTTTTTTTTTTAAACTAATTCCAGGAAATGTCAGGCTCAAATTTCCTGCAAGAGTGGTCTGTCAAAATACTTCTTCATGCCATCACTTTTAAGGCCTTGTTTGGCTCCTCCTTTCACCCTGTCATGAAACACCCATTCAGGGTGTTGAGATATTTATAGAATGAAGAGGGGGAAATCAAAGACAGGACTTAGATATGTAATTTAAAGTTTTCACAAAGTATCTTCATATTTTCACCCTCAGCTTCAAATAGATGCACTCTATGTCTGAAAGTTAGAAGCACATGCCTTCAAAATACAAGAGTCCTTGGAATAAAGTACCTATACACAAAGTTCTTACTGAGGAAGTCCATCTGTGGCACTGCAGAAACATGGATTTTTACTTCTTTAGATCCTTCAGCATTGCTCAGGTAATCTACTGTCCATTTGGTTATGCAAGTGCCCAGTTCCATTCCTTTCAGCACTACTGGCATTCTCTAAGGAACAAAAAAAAATTCAATAGTAAAATGATCATAGCATCCAGTGGAAAAAAAATCAGAATTAGTTTTTCAAACAAAGCACACACAAACAAGACAGTTGAATCCCAGGACTCGCTACACAAAGTCACAACTGATTTGGTCACAAATGAACAAAGTGAATCAGAAGACTGAATGTAGACACAGCATGCAGTAGACTGTGGGACTGTTTCTCTAGTTACTATATCCTCTTTCCTAGCAGGGTTAGGAAAGATCCGGAGAGGCAAAGACAACTTTAACACTCAATTTTGTGCTGGAGCCATTAAGTAATGTAGCCAGGCTAAGGAATAATTTTAGCCATTCCAGCCAGGGCTTAGCAAAAAACAGATAAAAAACCATACAATTAAGGTGTAGACTGTGAGTGGTGGTGGTGCTATACATTCTCATGAAAGAAACTCTTTCCACCTATACTAATGCTCCTTGACGCTGTCAACCATGAAAAGGCTTGATCCAGTGCACACAGAAGAATCAGAAAGAAGACATTTTCGCTTCGAATCGGCACGAAAATTGAAGCAGTGACGACAAGGCAACAAAACCAGCAACCGCCAAGCTTTTTTTTTTATAACCACCGTCAAAGCAAATGAACGGGCAGAGAGACCACTTGTCCGAACGCCTCAGCACCTCGGGAGAGGTTTCTGCCGCCAGAAAACCCTCCTTATTCTAAGATCGTTCCATTGAACGGCTCGCGGTATCTCCGGGGAATCACTCCAAGCCCCGAACCTGCGGCCCGGCCCGCTCCGGCGAGGCCCCCCTCACCCCGCCCAGCGACAGGGCGGCTGCCCCGGACCCGCCGCGGTTCCCGGAGCCCCCTCCTCCCGCCGCAGAGCCGCACCCGGGGGTAAACGTCTCGCAGGAACTGCTCCCGTGTGACCGCCGC